AGCGGAGTCCAGATCGATCTTCTATTGGGTCATATGCAAGGCGAGCAAGGACTGCATAAGAAAAGAAACAAGAGTCAACTTCCATTTTCCCGAGAATCATAAAAGTTAGAAAATCCTTAGTAAAAGCGAGTTGTTTTACCCGACTTTGCAGCTGAAGCGTAGTAGCCACCAAGTCTGAGGGTCGGGAAGCCACGAACTCCTCAAAGGCTATAGCCAATTGGCAGTCCAGCAGGGTATACACCACCGACTACAGATGCTCCGGGAGTTGCCTCATGGAATCTAGCACAGGCGTGTTTGAACCCGAAAGAACTGGCATCTCATCGACCCACTGTTTGCTCGCTCTCCTTTGGGAAACCGTGACCTCCACCACTCCTTTGCGCGAGCTCTCGAGGGCCGCAGAGGTGCTTGACTGGCTCCTCAGGGGCAACCCCAAGCGGAAAGCCTGGTAAGGCCGCGATCCCCCCGGCTGCACCCCTAAGCCTTCCAGCTCAAACTCCGATTCCTCCTTAGCTAGCAGCTGCTTTCTTTTCTTGGTTTTCTAGCCCATGGTTTTCTGCTTAGCAGCGCGAGCAGCCGTGGGCCAGGAAGCTTCCCCATGTCACTCTATGGGTGTTCATACGCTAATCTGTATCCCTCATGTGGGGATATCACCAGGGATTGCCTCAACTGGCTTAGTCAGGGCGACCTGGGAAAATACGAACCCCCTAGTCCTTGTCGTCGGCCATGGAACCCTGGGAGGCATGGTCGCTATGCGCCATGAAAGCATGTTAGCGAAAAGGTCACCACAGACAAAAGAAAGAGGTTCTAAGTGTGAGGATACTTGTGGACTAAGGGTTCTAGAGATGCTTCTGGATTGAAAAAACCGTACTTTCATAGGTTGGCGTTAGTCACAAGCAATCTCGCGTCACAACTCTACTCAAGTAGATGATTTAATGTCACAATTCGATTAAAATCTGTCAGAACCATCAATCTGGTCGTCTTATTTCTTGCAAAGAGACAAAAAAGTTCGTTAAAAACAAGAGCTGAAGAAAAGGAACAGTTCACAAATTGAAGAAAAGGAAAACCTACTCGGTTCCCTAAATTGGCAAACACCATCATACTCAAAAAAGAAAAATTTGGTCTCATAAGCCCCGACATTATTGAGGTAACCAAATATTCCTCCCTTGATCGTAGATCACTTCGAGAGGTAAATAGAGTCTTTATCCTTACTCTTTTTCAGATAGTAAGCACATGTGAGCTCCAACGCTGTCAGCTCGCCAAGACCATTTTTGCCACATGCGATATGCATAGCAACAGCTATCATATACGCATTAGGTGTCAATTGTAATGGCGCGACCTCGAAGTGGTTGAGAATTGATCTAATAAAAGGGTGAAAAGGTATCAACGCCTCGCATTTAAAGATCGCCTCAAACATCGCGGCCATTCCCTCTTGGGGATTCCAAGCTGTATATGTCCTATGCTGATAGACATCCACACTAAGCGCGTACTGGTCCCCTGCTTTCTGTATCTCGTCCCAGGTGGCTATTGATAAGGTCTCTTGCACGAGACCTACTAGGGTGCCCGATGCCTGTGAGCTCGTCCCCTCGACTGCTCTAATCATTGAGATATCCATTGCTCCTAAAGTTTGAAAAATGGGCGACATGTAGAGATAACTCAGTCTCCGTACAATGTTCCGTACGATGACGTGGAAGAGCAAAAGAAACTCTAATGTACCTTCCTTAACCCCTAGAAAAACCCTGAAAACCTTTGGGAATGAATCCTCAAGGATTCGTGCCTTAAGTTCTCACTCTTTATGAAGAAAAAAGCTCTCTTCTCACCATTGTCCAGAAATACGCACCATAAAAGATTGTTAGACAGGTCATACCTACCATTACCGCAAAAGTCAAGCAATTAACAAAATAATAGAAGAAAACGAAGGAGAAATCCTCCTTACCTCTCAGCTGCTAGGAATGAACTTCCTGTCGTAACGAAGAGTGCGCATCAATTGGAAGAAGGGCAGGCTAATTTCGTGAGAGTTTTGTTTTCTCTCTGAAAATATGAGTTATGTGACAAAACTTGAGGCGAACCCAGGGTTTTATAGAGGGACAAACGACGATTGGTTTCCCTAAGCAAGTGACGCTTGGGCGGGATACGTTTCTCGCCATTGATTGCGACCACGTGTCATTAATCAGCGAGAAAAAATAACCTCCATGCTTCGTGAATACCAATCGACACTTCCCTCCATTGGAGCAACCAAACGTCGGCGCGGTTATCTCCTCCACATTAAATGTGCCCTCATCCGCATTTAATGCTCTGAAAGAGAATGTCGTTTCAGCATGACTTGCATTTAATGTGCATAGCTAGTACTTATTGCACAACAGACATGTCTATCAAAATAAAGATTATTTTATTGACCAGACTAATTGGCAAGCGCAACGGATAACATTTGAAGAGGTTATTCGAGTAAAACACTCTTCACAGTGTATCGGTTTAGAGACGATGTGATTCCTTGCTTTCGGTAAAAACATGCTAAGTATTCAGGTCGCGAGTTGCAGATGAGATTCAAAGCATGTCGGTATGGCACTATGTAGGGTCTGAACCAGGTCGGTGAACCTGTGGGAGAAGGCCGCCTCAGGTCGCTTGTGCTATTTTTAGAGACCTATGCTGCAACCTCCTTACGGCTCGATCAACTCGATCAAGCATCATTTGGGACAAGTCAAGTCGCGACATAATCATGAAGTTCTCAAGGTTTAATCCTTAAACCTTAAAAACTGGGGGGCTTCTGTTATGCCTAAAAAGTCAAGGCTGACATAGACTCTCGTCAACAAGGACCAATCAGAATTTAGGGAGGCTTTGTGCCGTCTAGACACTGCCACGTCGCGTAATCACAGAAGAGGTATGGTTCTCGTCAGTATAACAGGTGAATGCCAAGCTTGCGAGTGGCTAGGAATCGTCCACCTGCCCAAGCCTTATGCGATTTAAGGATGTCTCTCGTGCAAACAATCAATGGAAAACGGGTTAGGAATTATACCACACCTGTCGGACTACAGACTCGTGATTATTACCTTGAATCCTCCAACTATAAATAGATGGCTCCTCTCCCATTTACGGGATTGGCTTATCTTTAGTCTTAAACAACATACATTCTCTCTTTCTCTCTCTATATTCTCTCTAGATTGTAACTCAACTCGCTACACGCGACCTCACTGTAACCATCTATTAATACAACTGCAGTGGACGTAGGATTCGCTTTTGAGTATCCAAACCACTTTAAAACCCGTTTTTTATTCATTCTCTCGCTACATATTTTTATACCACGTGTAATTTTTAAACCGGTTTAGTATTTTACATGTGTGGCTTATTAGTGTCAAAATCAAGTATCAACAAGTAGTAAAAAAAGAGAACACGTGAGCAATTTATTGGTCGCTAATTCCAACAAATACCATGTAGGAAGGAAATGGTAGCAGATTTTTTTGAGCGCAGAATGAATTGCCTCCTCAAAAGTCAAATTTAAGCACTGATATTTGTATGAAAATGTTCAATGCTGGTTAGCTTATTTGGATGTATTATTTATTACCATTTTGACTTTTGACAAATGATAGTTTAGTCAATGATTTATTGGCCATTGCATTGCAGTTGAAATGGGAGGGAGAGATTAATGTCTTAACCTAATGCTAAAAGAGTCTCTTCAAAGGACCTTTATATAACCCAAACTCTTTTTATAAAAAGTTTATCCATAAAAATAAGAGTCTAATATACTCTTTATCTTTAAAATATAAATTAGAAAGTGAGTTTGACTCTCCATATTTAGAGAGTCAAATTCCACTCTCTATCCTAATTTTAATTAATCAATTATAAGTTTTCATATATTTTATTTATTAATTCTCTCTCTCATTAGGTCTCTTTTTAAAAAAATAAAGAGTAACTTCATTAAATTTAAAGAATTTATTATATTTAAATAAAAAATATATTATTTATATTTAAAAATTAATGAAAATGCTTTTCATTCGTATGAAATGTAATCTTTAAAATAAAGAGCCGCTCAAATGTGTTTATAATGGAATGATTGGTTGATTTTGGTGAAATATCAGAGTAAAGTAGAAAATAGACAGCTGTGAATCAGGCATATATACGGCACTTTAGAATTTAGATGAGTGCTTTTAAAAATTGTGCATATGTGGTTGAGAGTTGATGAGAGAGTAATGAAATCCAGTCCTTCAGGCATGGGTAGTTGATTGGATGAATCACAGTCGTAGGTGTAACTGTATAGTTATTACCAATGATTGATTCCTCCACTGACTTCCTCTATCAACCCGCTTAAATTAGCTGAAAAGAAGGCCACTCTACCCTGCCCCAACTTTTATTGGTTACCATCTCACTCGCACAGCCACACCATGACTACTTATCTTCCAGTTCATACTTGTACATGAGAAACGAGAGCAGCTTGGTTGCTAACCATTTTTGTAGAACATGATTCGAGAATGAAATAACAACCATTTTTGGAGTCCAATGATAATAGATGTGTCAAAATTGGAGAGAGGACAGCTGCCCCTTACTGGTAAATGGAGAACCCACAATTCTAGAGATCATCAGAAGAAATAGGGGTGTATATATAATTATAAATCAAAATTAATTAGTTTTTCTTTTCTTTCATCTCAACACACTCAAAACTATAATTTTATGGGAGTAAGATGTTATTACTTAGGCTACAATAAAAAGGATCTTAATCACAATTGTTAAGCATGATCCAAAATTATTGGATAGGCAAACAAAAAGGGTGTGAAAAGAATAAAGATAGATTGTTGGAGCGGTGGATGTTGAATATTGAATATTGAAGAGTGACTAATTAGCTTATAATTGACGTTTCATTCACATGATAAACAAAGAATTAAAAGAAAAATGCTGAAAATCCAATAAAATGAGGGAATGAAATAACAAATTTCTTATTTATTGGAGGTCAAGTCACTTAAAATGGTCTTATAAGTCATCAATTGCCATACATGTCCTGACATGATGAATTTCATCTGGCACCAACCCAACCAAACTCATCAAATGCTTATCTATTCAATCCAACTATCCATCTGCGGTAACTAAAGCCACTTAACTGAAGCACCATCTCCTCCCAACCTCAACTCAATATTAGAGTCAAAGCCGCACCAAAATATTCCCCCGCCAATTACGCAGTCTTGTCCGTGCCAATTTTTTCCCCCTTCAAAATTAAAACCCCACTTCACATTCTCATCGAAACGCACAAGCGCCTCTCCAACAATGGGGAAAGAAGAGCAAGAAGGTGAAGAGTACTTGTTCAAGATTGTGTTAATAGGTGACTCGGCGGTGGGAAAATCAAACCTACTGTCACGGTTTGCAAGGAATGAGTTTGATAATAATTCAAAGGCGACTATCGGAGTAGAGTTTCAGACGCAGGTGGTGGAGATTGATGGGAAAGAAGTGAAGGCACAGATCTGGGACACTGCTGGTCAAGAGAGGTTCAGAGCTGTTACTTCTGCTTACTATAGAGGTGCTGTTGGTGCGCTTGTTGTTTATGACATTACCAGAAGAAGTAGCTTTGATAGCATTAAACGCTGGCTTGAAGAGCTCACCAGTAAGTCTTGTAATTATTCTATTTGTGTTTTAGTTTCTGTGATTCAATGGCCTTGCCTCCACTGTTTTGTGTTTTGTTTGTTTTGCGAAGTAAAATTTGTGCGAGAAAGAAAAAAATGTTATGGTTAACTATGTTTGATGTTGTTGCTTTATTGTGTTCTGGAAAACGGATGTGTGTAACTCTGTGATTAGATATTTTGCTTGATTAGCTTAAAAGTTGCCTTCCTTTTGGTAATAGGCCTTTAAAAAGTTTATTGATATTGAATATCCTGCCCTAAATTGAGATAAGATATATTATGGAAATCCGACCTTTTGTTTTCCGTTCTTTTTCTCTTTCTTGGCTACCAAACAGAAGGTTAGTTTCTTCTGGAATAAGCCTTAACCCTAATTAGCTTGTCAATTTTTGGCTCTTGTTGCTGTTGCCTAGTTTTCCCGGTGGAAATTGAGATTCTGTAAAATTTAACTTTGGTCAGATGCATATTTATCACAAATTGATATTATTGTGATTGAACTCTGTATTTCTGATTATGATCCTCAAAAACTATTCCAGTTTTCAACCAGTGGAAGCATACTTTAGTCCTACCAGACATGAGTGACGGGATTCCTTTCTGAATGCTATATATAAATATAACATAGCTAGATTGGTTCTAAATAGACAATTTCAAATCTTAAATCCGATTACTATCATGGGAATAATCTTTCTGCAATGTGGTTAATCCTGTGGGTGGAACACAGCTAACAATTTCCATTTCTGAATCTCGATATGTTTAATATTCCACCTCCTCTTTCTTCAATTTATGAGCCTGACGTTGGAAATTAGCTATTCAATTTTTGTTTTGGGAAGTCAACGAAGTTTAACCCTCAGTTGTATAATCACACAGCTCATTGTGATACTACGGTGGCAAGAATGCTGGTGGGAAATAAGTGTGATTTGGAGAATATAAGAGATGTTAGCATAGAGGAAGGTAGAAGCCTTGCAGAAGAAGAGGGATTATTCTTCATGGAGACATCTGCACTTGAGTCTACTAATGTTCAAACGGCTTTTGAGATTGTTATCCGGGATATTTACAGCAACATTAGCAAGAAAGTCATAAACTCTGATGCATACAAAGCTGAGTTGTCCGGCGACCGAGTCACTTTGGTCAAGGATGGGGCCAACTCATCAAAGGAAAGTATGATCAATTTCTCATGCTGCACCAGATGAGCTCTGTTCATTTCAGTGGTTGAGAATTGATCTAATAAAAGGGTGAAAAGGTATCAACGCCTCGCATTTAAAGATCGCCTCAAACACTCGGGCCATTCCCTCTTGGGGATTCCAAGCTTATATTGTCCTATGCTGATAGACATCCACACTAAGCGCGTACTGGTCCCCTGCTTTCTGTATCTCGTCCCAGGTGGCTATTGATAAGGTCTCTTGCACGAGACCTACTAGGGTGCCCGATGCCTGTGAGCTCGTCCCCTCGACTGCTCTAATCATTGAGATATCCATTGCTCCTAAAGTTTGAAAAAGGGCGACATGTAGAGATAACTCAGTCTCGTACAATGTTCCGTACGATGACGTGGAAGAGCAAAAGAAACTCTAATGTACCTTCCTTAACCCCTAGAAAAACCCTGAAAACCTTTGGGAATGAATCCTCAAGGATTCGTGCCTTAAGTTCTCACTCTTTATGAAGAAAAAAGCTCTCTTCTCACCATTGTCCAGAAATACGCACCATAAAAGTTGTTACAGGTCATACCTACCATTCCGCAAAATCAAGCAATTAACAAAATAAAAAAAAACGAAGGAGAAATCCTCCTTACCTCTCAGCTGCTAGGAATGAACTTCCTGTCGTAACGAAGAGTGCGCATCAATTGGAAGAAGGGCAGGCTAATTTCGTGAGAGTTTTGTTTTCTCTCTGAAAATATGAGTTATGTGACAAAACTTGAGGCGAACCCAGGGTTTTTAGAGGGACAAACGACGATTGTTTCCCTAAGCAAGTGACGCTTGGGCGGATACGTTTCTCGCCATTGATTGCGACCACGTGTCATTAATCACGGAGAAAAAATAACCTCCATGCTTCGTGAATACCAATCGACACTTCCCTCCATTGGAGCAACCAAACGTCGGCCGGTTATCTCCTCCACATTAAATGTGCCCTCATCCGCATTTAATGCTCTGAAAGAGAATGTCGTTTCAGCATGACTTGCATTTAATGTGCATAGCTAGTACTTATTGCACAACAGACATGTCTATCAAAATAAAGATTATTTTATTGACCAGACTAATTGGCAAGCGCAACGGATAACATTGAAGAGGTTATTCGAGTAAAACACTCTTCACAGTGTATCGGTTTAGAGACGATGTGATTCCTTGCTTTCGGTAAAAAAATGCTAAGTATTCAGGTCGCGAGTTGCAGATGAGATTCAAAGCATGTCGGTATGGCACTATGTAGGGTCTGAACCAGGTCGGTGAACCTGTGGGAGAAGGCCGCCTCAGGTCGCTTGTGCTATTTTTAGAGACCTATGCTGCCACCTCTTCGCTCGATCAACTCGATCAAGCATCATTTGGGACAAGTCAAGTCGCGACATAATCATGAAGTTCTCAAGGTTTAATCCTTAAACCTTAAAAACTGGGGGGCTTCTGTTATGCCTAAAAAGTCAAGGCTGACATAGACTCTCGTCAACAAGGACCAATCAGAATTTAGGGAGGCTTTGTGCCGTCTAGACACTGCCACGTCGCTAATCACAGAAGAGGTATGGTTCTCGTCAGTATAACAGGTGAATGCCAAGCTTGCGAGTGGCTAGAATCGTCCACCTGCCCAAGCCTATGCGATTAAGGATGTCTCTCGTGCAAACAATCAATGGAAAAAGGTTAGGAATTATACCACACCTGTCGGACTACAGACTCGTGATTATTACCTTGAATCCTCCAACTATAAATAGATGGCTCCTCTCCCATTTACGGGATTGCTTATCTTTAGTCTTAAACAACATACATTCTCTCTTTCTCTCTCTATATTCTCTCTAGATTGTAACTCAACTCGCTACACGCGACCTCACTGTAACCATCTATTAATCAACTGCAGTGGACGTAGGATTCGCTTTTGAGTATCCAAACCACTTTAAAACCGTTTTTTATCATTCTCTCGCTACATATTTTTATACCACGTGTAATTTTTAAACCGTTTAGTATTTTACATGTGTGGCTTATTAGTGTCAAAATCAAGTATCAACAAGTAGTAAAAAAAGAGAACACGTGAGCAATTTATTGGTCGCTAATTCCAACAAATACCATGTAGGAAGGAAATGGTAGCAGATTTTTTTGAGCGCAGAATGAATTGCCTCCTCAAAAGTCAAATTTAAGCACTGATATTTGTATGAAAATGTTCAATGCTGGTTAGCTTATTTGGATGTATTATTATTACCATTTGACTTTGACAAATGATAGTTAGTCAATGATTTATTGGCCATGCATTGCATTGAAATGGGAGGGAGAGATTAATGTCTTAACCTAATGCTAAAAGAGTCTCTTCAAAGGACCTTTTATAACCCAAACTCTTTTATAAAAAGTTTATCCTAAAAATAAGAGTCTAATATACTCTTTATCTTAAAATATAAATTAGAAAGTGAGTTTGACTCTCCATATTAGAGAGTCAAATTCCACTCTCTATCCTAATTTTAATTAATCAATTATAAGTTTTCATATATTTTTTTATAATTCTCTCTCTCATTAGGTCTCTTTTTAAAAAAAAAGAGTAACTTCATTAAATTTAAAGAATTTATTATATTTAAAAAAAATATATTATTTATATTTAAAAATTAATGAAAATGCTTTTCATTCGTATGAAAGTAATCTTTAAAATAAAGAGCCGCTCAAATGTGTTTATAATGGAATGATTGGTTGATTTTGGTGAAATATCAGAGTAAAGTAGAAAATAGACAGCTGTGAATCAGGCATATATCGCACTTTAGAATTTAGATGAGTGCTTTTAAAAATTGTGCATATGTGGTTGAGAGTTGATGAGAGAGTAATGAAATCCAGTCCTTCAGGCATGGGTGTTGATTGATGAATCACAGTCGTAGGTGTAACTGTATAGTTATTACCAATGATTGATTCCTCCACTGACTTCCTCTATCAACCCGCTTAACCTCGGCATCATCAGCCTGGGCCATGGAAACAAGGATGTCCTGATATTCAATCGGGAGGTCGAAGAGGTCCATCCCCAGATTTCTTGGTCACAAGCTGTAGATGGCCCACATTGCCTAGTCAGTGGCCCTCCTCTAGAGTTCAAGGTTTTGGCGCATCATCTGATCAGTTAATGAAGTGACCCGCCCTTGGGACAGCTCAAGGTCCATTTCCATAGCTCTCTTCTACTTCTTAGAATTTTCCCATAGTCGAGCTTTGACATCCTCCGCCTTTATGGTATGCTCAGAGTTTACCTTCAGCTCCTTCTCTATCTCGTCACACTTTTTGGTGAGTCTGGCCACTGTCCTTTGGAGCTCTTTGTTCTCCGCGTCTTTCTTGTTGAGTTCAGCCTTCTGAAAGTCCACCATACGAAGGGTAGAATTTCTCTCTACTAGATACTAGTTTTTCCTGAATATGGATTGCCTTTGCCTCTTTGTCCAGAGTTGTAAAGTCCTATTTCAGCTTGGTATTCTCTTTCCTCAGCTCGTGGAACCCTCCAGCGGAGTCCAGATATATCATCTGTTGGATCATATGCAAGGCGAGTAGGGACTGCATAAGCAAAGAAACAAGAGTTAACTTCCATTTTCCAGAGAATCATAAAAGTTAGAAAATCCTTTATAAGAGCAAGCTGCTTTACTCAGCTTTGCAGCTGGAGCGCAGTGGCCACCAGGTCCACAGGTCGGGAAGCCACGAACTCCTCAAAGGCCGTAGCCAGTTGACACTCCAGTAGGGTATACACCATCGGCTATAGATTCTCCAGAGTTGTCCCATGGAATCCAACACAGGCATGTCTGACCCTAGAGGAACTGGTACCTCATCGACCCGTTGTTTTCCTGCTTTCCTTTGGGCAACCGTGACCTCCCCCACTCCTTTGTGCAAGCTTTTGGAGGCCCTCAGGGGCACCCCCAAGCAGGAAGCCTGGTAAGGCTGTGATCTCCCCGGCTACACCCCTAAGCCCTCCGACTTGGACTTTGATTCATCAGCCTGCAACTTTTTTCTTTTCTTAGTATTCTGGCCCATGGTTTTCTGCTTAGTGGCGCGAGTATCCGCAGGCCGAGAAGCTTCCCCATGTCACTTTATGTGTGTTCGTGTGCCAATCAGTATCCCCTCTATTGAGATATCGCCAAGGATCGCCTCGGTTGGCTCAGTTAGGGTGACTCAAGGAAATACGAACCCCTTAGTCCTCGTCATCGGCCTTGGAACCCTGGGTGGCATGGTTGCTACGTGCCATGATAGCATGTTAGCGAAAAGGTCACCATAGACAAAAGAAAAATGTTCTAAGTGTGAGGATACTTACGGACTAGGTGTACTAAAGATGCTTCAGGATTGAAAAAACCATACTTTCTTAGTTTGGCAGTAGTCACGAGTAATCTCGCATTGTGACTCTACTCCGGCAGATTATCGAATGCCATAATTTGGTTGAAATCTGTCAGAGTCGTCAATTTGGTCGTCTTATTTCTTGCAAAGAGATAAAAAAGTTCGTTAAAAACAAAAGCTGAAGAAAAAGGGACAGTTCACAAATTGAAGGAAAGGAAAACCTACTCAGTTCCCTAAACTAGTAGACACCATCATACTAAAAAAAGAAAAATTTGGTCTCATAAGCCCCAACTTTACTAGGGTAACCAAATATTCCTCCCTCAAACGTAGATCGTTTCGAGAGGTAAAAAGAGTCTTTATCATTGCTCTTCTTCAGATAGTAAGCGTATGCGAGCTCTAGCGCTGTCAGCTTGCCAAGGCCATTTTCGCCACATGCGATATACATAGCAATAACTATCATATACGCATTAGGCGTCAATTACAATGGCACGACCTCGAATTATGGTAGCGCGCAAAATTTGGTAGCGTGCTGAATACACCAAATTAATTAACCTTACTAACCTAACTACTAAATTGTATATAGGGTGAGCAAGGGTCGATCCCACAGGAAATGATTCGATTAAATCCTATATTCTATGCCAATAGCCACAATGAAAACAACACAATAAAACCCTAAACAGTGAACATGACAACACAACAAAGTAATGAAAGGGGTTTGTAATCAAGGCAAA